AAGAGCGGCGTTTGGGCGGGAGGCTACGCTGGGAAGCGCAGGCGGCGCGAGGCGCGTGCACCAAAGGATACTTCTGGGCGTTCTCCTCCACGGGCCCCTGCCCCGCCACCAGCACGCACTTCTGGTGGAACTCGCTGAAGAGCCGCAGGGGGCTGTGAGACAGGATCACCTGCTCCGGAGACACCTGCAGAAGGGAGGAAAGGTGCTTGGGTAAAAGAACATGCCCTTCTCCATGCAGTGTGCAGCGGTCAGGCTGCTTCCCTTTCTCCAAGCTGCTGCTTTCCTCCACCAATCCCTGCTGTCCTTGTCCATTAAAAGGTCATGTCAAGGCAGTGCCAGCCATTTGGTGTGACCTGCCACAGACCCAGCTCCAGCTGATTGAGCTACACAGAGACATTCAAACTGCATCTGAACAGGTTTATCTATCTCTGCCTGCTCAGCGGTGCCCCACACAGGTCCTGACAGGTGCAAGGGCAGACAAGGCAGGGCTTCCTACCCCTGCGTGCTCCCATCGGAGCCATCCAACGCTGTCTTTCCATAGCCTCCTTCCCGGCCCAAGCTGGTCTAAAAATACATACAGGATTTCTTTTTTATTTAGCTCGGAGGAACACATTTGTATTCGCCAACCCCGGGGCGCCGCAGCTCAGAAACCAGGAGCCAGCCCATTCAGACGGAGGTTTCCAATCTGTTTGCGCTCTGAAGGTCAGCGCTTCCCCGCCGTCGGCCCTCCCCAGAGCGCGGTGCTGGGCATTCCCCCCCGCCTCCCGCTGCTCCCGTGCAAAGTACGGACACGTGCAGCCAAATCCAAGGAGGGGGAAGGCGCTGTGGAGTGGGGAAGAAAAAAGCAGGGGGAATAAAAGCAGCACTTTCTCAATCCCTTGGGCTGATTTCATTGCGGTGCAAGAGCTTCCTCCTCCTCCCTGTGGCAGAGCCCGCTGTGGGCACCGCGGGGTGCGCGGGGCACGGCCGCTCGACGCCCGGCCCTGCGGCCCTGTCCTAGGCGACGCGGACCGGGCGCCGCTCGCCTCGCGCTGCCGGGCGTTACCTGCAGCCCCAGGGCGTGGGACAGCTCCTCGGCCTTGGCCTTCCGCAGGCAGTTGCCGGCGTTGGTGAGGAAGACGACGGGGACGCGGAGCTGCCCGTCGCCGTCCGAGAGGGCGCGGAAGGCGTCGCGGGCGGCGGGGATCACCTGGCTGCCCCGCACCAGCACCCCGTCGATGTCGAAGAGGAAGCCGAACGCGGGCGGCTGCAAGGCGAGCGGAGGGACGGGCAC